TTAATTCAAAAAATAAATCTAAACCATTAATATCAGAATAACTATTATGTGTTAAAGAAAGTTCAAGGTTAAGACAATGTTATTTTAAATTCTCATCTTATGCTAAATAATTTACAACAAAAAGGAAAAACTTTATCCAAATCTTTAGAGTAAATTAACCATTTTCTTTCCTGTTTTTCTCCGTTTGCCAATTTTTGAATATAGTGTGTTGTAGAAAAATGTCTTAAGAGTTTATCCTTTGAAAAATTTATATCAATCATTCTAATTAGTCCCATTTCTACTAATTGATCTCTCAATTTTGTATTTGTATTATTCAATTGGCTTGGGTCATATATATTTTTAGGGATGCAACTATTTAAATTACTTAGGAGTTCTTGATTATTGGGAACTATGTCACATTTTTCACCAACTTCTTCTAGATTTTCTTCTTGTATGTTATTATCATCTAACTCAATTCGATTAGTGACTTGTTCATTTGAAGAACACCCTCCAATATTTTTTGATTCAGAATTTTTATTATTTGTTAAAAATCTATCAAGGGCTCCTTTTTGGGATTTATTTAATTCCTCAAGTTCTCTTTTTGTAAAACCAGAATCATATTTTCTAGTTGACATATTTAAATTAAATAAATTGTAATAATAACTAAAACAAGAATATATATGCTTATGAACTAAGAATAACAACAATAACAATTTTTTAAGAAAAACTATAAAATAAAGTTAGAATAATAAAACCTAACTTCACAAATTCGATAAGTTGATATAATAATATCGAAATAATGGTGTGTTTCTTGACTCCTTCAATAGAATGATTGCTTGTTGCAGTTCTTGAAATCCAAAGAAGATACCCAAAAGTAAATTTTGTTCTTTTGTAACTTTAAACTTGTAAGCAACAGTATATCAAAATTTTTTGTAGGAGAGAGTTCAAAATTGAGAATAAAAATAATAAAATAGAGAATAAAAAAGATGAATATTAAGGTATATAATATATATGGTTAAAGTCTTGGGAGATAAATAAGGAAGCATGATTTCTCACTCTTGGAAATTATTCCAAAATTGTTCATTTCCCTAGATTAAAATTAAAAGCACTTTACCTTTTTTTTTTTTTTGCACGTTTAGTATTCCCAAAAATTGTTCCACCCATTCCTTAATTAAAAACTATCAAACTAACGGTACTTTTACCTTCTTCTTTTTTTAAATTCTTGCATGATTTATTTTCACTTCTTGCACCTTTTTTTTTATTAAAAAAATTAAAAGTAAATATAATTTTTTTAAGTATATATATAAGTACTTTTTTTAAAAAAATGGGCCCCCCAAAAATATGGGGTTCCAAGCGATGACTTTAGTGGCCTAACGATTAACACGGCCCTGACTTTTGATTTATGAACGTGCGTTCTTGTGAGATTGCTGATGAAAAATCTGTTAAAAACATTTACGATAAGTCAATTTCTAATAAATTTTATCAAAAAGTTTCACATTTTCTAGTGCTTAAAGAAGTGGTCGAACTAATGAATGGCTTACATTCATAAGTTGTTATTACTATTATAAATGACATAAAATTATCATTTTTATGACGAGTTAGTTACTATAGTATTATCCTAAAATCATAACATGTATTTTAATAAAAAAAGTATGATTAGCACGTTATTATTAGTTATATAATTCATCAAACTATCATTAATTAGATCCACCCCAGAAAAAGATAAATTAAAACAACGATAATAACTAATTATTTTTTAATATAATTTTCTCACATTCTACACAAATGATTTTTATTATAATCTATAAAGTTGGATTTTTTTTAATTTTATTTTTATAAATGAGCATTTGGTTAAGAGAATTAGGGGAAGTTACTTGAAATGAAAGTTTATATTTCTTTTTCTCATTTTTTAATTTTAATTATTTGCCTATAATTAATTGCTTGATTTGATGATGTTAACAGCCACGAGAAGGAACATGTAACCATGGAAGGTCAAAGTTGACCTTAAGGACAACGTAGAATAATTCGAAATCATCAGAAAGTTAAAATTTTCGTTAAGAATATTTAAAATTTAACATATATTTAAACAATAATATTTGATCTATACACTTCATATAATTTTCTATGAACATAATACAATTTTCCAAAGAAGAATGTTACATTATGTTATTTCGCATTCTTGAAATAATTTGTTTTAACCTTTTCATTTTATCTTTAATAATTTATTTTTCTGGTTACACAAATCTCATAACATATCTAAAAACATTCTCACGTGCTTATTTAGCAAAGTCTAAGTAATTTTTGGTTTTATTCTGAATTTATAGTTTTGGAATTATAATTTTTAAATCACTTTATCTTATTTATGAGATTAAATAATATCAAGTTGGATAGGATAAAGTGAAATGAATATTGATAATATTCATTTAGCTAAAGTTCAATGAACATTGAAATAAAAGAGAGTCATAACTAAAATTTAGGTACATGTTTCCTTCAACTCAAAATGACCAACACCAAACTTTGACAATAACATTAATATAGGAGATTTTTTTTTTTTTAAAAAGGTGAAAAATGCGAATTTGGTTTTGACCAACACATTTTAATGTCTAGTCCAAACTCCAAAATTAGACTAAACAAGCCTAAATTTTTTCTTTTAAATATTTGAAAAACACTAAAGACACATATTTTTATCAATTAATCTAAAGTCACATGTATCTAGTCAGATAGTTTGTTTAAGAAAAATTAAAATAATTGGCACTGATGACAAAAAGAGAAATCCATTATTTGAATCAAGCAAATTAAATTATATCTATCCAAAGAACATGACTTGATTAATTACTGAATTATTATTTATTTCCCCTTTCTTTCCTTATTTGTTGTATGCATGTATTATTTACTAGTTAGAAAGTTTGTCTAGGCATTAAAAATGAGACATACTTATAATGTCAAATGTGTGGTACAAAATCTAATACACAAAGCATATTTGGTGAGAAACATTGGATGAATGAAGACAAGCCAATTCATTGCATTTTCAAAGTTAAGAAGCAATCAAGTCAACATTAAGTTTTAAGATATTCCCGCCGTTCACTTTTACTTGTCCACTTTAAACTTTATACGTACATCTCTTAAGAAATAATAATTAATATAAATAATTTATCAGCAATATTCATATTAATTAATATATAGTCTTAGATCTTGAGAAATGATTTGAATAATTAGTAATTAACGTTGATGATAAAATTTAAAAAATTGACTGTCTTTCTTGATATTTGAAAAGTGACAAGTTAAAATAAATCTTATTAGTATCATGATTCATGAAAATAACTTTGAAAATATTTGCATGAGAACATTTTCATTAGTTTTTCGATAAAAAGATCGACATGTCATTTGACTATAATATGAAAGATATATCTTTAGATCATGAATAAATTGGAATGTGTTCCTTAAAATCTAAATAATTTATGTTTTTACAAAAGAAGGCAATTGCAATTGCAACCCACTTTCTTCAAGCAATTATTTTGTACAATATTTTTGTAAGTTGAATTTGGCCCAATACTATTGGCATTGATATAACATCAACAATATTGAAAATCTAAGCGGAAGAAGAGAAAATAATGTAATCAATATGGAGGAAGAAATCTCTCTCAATAGCCACCTTTAACATATCAAATTCATAATACAATTTGACTCAAATCAATAGCCCAATTGTGCATGGTTCCATTTTGGCCCATTGACATATGTAACACATCTAGTCTAGTAATATAACATGCTTAAAAAGTAAGGGAAAAACTACTTAATTACATGAACATTTCTACTATATTTACTAGTTCGTCCTATAGCTTGGAATAATTACATATTGTCTCACTAATTAATAATTTCACATCTGATACACCTAGATACATGTATTTTTGATAGTAGACACATGTACTCTAAGACACATATACATAGGGAGAGAGGCGAACAAGATAGGATGAAGGTGAATGAGAGAGTCAATGTATCTCAGATACGTGAGTATCACACTAGATACATGTATCTGGAATACTAGATGCATTCTGAAATACAAATACAGCGAGGGAGAGAGAGAGGGGCAAGCGAGATAAGAGAGACACGAGCGAGCGAGTACTCAGTGTATTGCAGATACATGCGAATATACTTGGATACACTATATTTGGAACAAATTACACATAATTTTGACCACATGTATATTTGGACGTGTTAGATAGATGTAGCTTAGACCAAAATCTGTCTAGAATGATAATTTTGAGAAATCATGAGAATGCATATAATTAGACCCTAGATTAATGGAATTTGTGTTGTTTTCCTAAAAGTATCAATCACTTTTTCTTGTACTATGAGTTGCTAATAATTTACTAATGTGTGTCATTAGTTGGTTTTGATTTATGCATTCTTTGGAGAAAAAAAACTCAAATATTTATTGTTGATAAATGTAAGAACTGTTATAAAATATTATGGTGCTATCACTAATTATCTCCGTTATGTAGATAACCTCCACATTTATGATCATCATTCTTGTAACCTTACACCTTCATAACCTCCTCCATTATCTTCATGATTAATGTCATGTTTATGAATTATGACTAATCTTTGGTATGCCTCTATGTAACACTATAAATAGAGGCATTAAAGTTCATATTGTAAACACTTAAATACTTGAAAGACCTCTTATCTTATAATCTTGTTGTCATCTTTATATTGTTCTTTTGTTCTTTAATTTTACAACAAGAACATTATAACAAACATTTCCATTTTAGTATATAACATTGAACAATACAATAATCATACAAAACACCAAAAAATGCTACTCATTAATTTACAACAAACAATAGTACAACAAGATCAAACATTTATGGGTACGAACAATAGTACAATACATCAATCACAATACAAAACGATACATTACGATACAATGACATAGAACGAAAAATTTAGGAGAGCAACATATAAAAATTAACAAATCAATTTTTTTTTCTTGTTCGTTATTTAGGAGATCTCAGAAATTGAATTTATTTAATTAGGCCCCGTTTCTTTTGACTTAGATGTGTCAATGAACGATTAGCAACAACCATCAATAGTCCTAATTCATGTGATTTTCGATTGAGTTCAGGATCAATAATATTAGCATTCTTTAAACTTGTTTTACATCGATCCGAAGCATCGCCAACATTATGAAAATCATAATCATCTGTATCGTCTTTATATCCTTTATTTTTCGCGGTTCTATCTAAAATCAATTGGAAATTAGGTCCCATATCGAGCCATTCCTTTTCACATTCGGTGTACACAGGAGTTTCAATTTTTTTCTTTAATACGTAGTCGTGTGTTGTCTTTGTTTGAGCTACGATTGATTTCATGAGTGCCAATCCGAGGTCCAAATCTGTTGTTGTTGCTGCTGCTAGTACCTTATCGGCTTTAATGTAGTCGAGACATTCCTTATCTTTTTCACAAGCTATGTCTAAGATGTCATCGTTTGCATTGATGCTATGTGAGGAGAAGAAACAGAGGATTAATGAAATGAGTAAATGAATCGGGAGTTTGTTCAAAGAAGCCATTTTTAAAAAAAAGTTGAAAAAGGCTTCTTTGGCTTTTATTTGTTGCGTGAGTTTGGTTTTGGGAGAATTTTGTGTTATTTTATAGGTGATTTTGAGTAACAAATTAAAATATGTATCAAGAGAAATTTAGGGGTGAGGCATTAATTTTGGGGGTTCCTTTTTGTATGGTTTTCCATAATGTAAGGACTTGAGATTAAGGAGAAAATAATAGAGGATATATAGAGCCAAAATTAGTTTAATTGGTTATCACTATTGAAGTTATAATCGTAGCGTATAAGCATTTGCAAGTTTAATCATTTCGAAATCAACTATTAATACAACTGAAATGTCGTTGGGCCTGGCAATCCAAAATGTTAAACATTTTTTTTATGAACTTTTGACATTTATATTTGAGAAAATCACCCCATATACACATTTAAGAGTAAATATTACGGGTTTTAAATCTACTTTTAAAAATTTCTTGCTTATAATAGATTATTTACGGGCTATGACATATCAGTTAAATTTAATTTAATTATATTTATTTAATAAATTATTAATCTATTTATAGTTTTTTATTATTAATTAATAGTAGATAATTAATTTTATTTTACTTCCTTTTATTAAAAACTAAAATTTTCAGTTATCCAATTTTAGGGATTTCCTTTCCTTGTTTACCGTTACCATCCCCAATCATCGATCACACCATCATCCCACACGTTTCTTCACTCCCACACGACTCAACCCACAACCCACTATCAAACTTTCTCCATTCTTTCTCATCTAGTCCAACATCAAAACCGATTACCCATCTTACCCGCGATTATTCATCATCATGTCTAAGAAACAAATTGAAACTCCACGAAAGAGCCCCAGATTTGATGGAATTTCAATTGATGATGCTCATGCTCCATCATTTAATAAATTATCTCAAACAGCCCAGTCTAAAACTGTTCAAATTCCTGCCACCGGTGGTCCATCTCGTTCGAAGAATCAAAAATATAAAAATAATGAAGCTAATCAAAGTGCGACTACGGCAAATCAAAGGGGGAAGAAGAGGAAGGGGAAAAAACTTGTTGAAACCCCTCCAGAGTCTAATTCCGCCTCAGATTCGAATTTTGTTGGTCAAACAGAAAAGAAGAAAACAAAAAAAAGCAACAAAGGTTGAAATCGCTGAAACATCAAAACCTTATACAAGAAGAAAAACAAAAAACGATGAATCGGAATTAACAAAATCCAAAAAGCCCAAAAAGTGGTTAAGGTAAGTAATTTATTTAATTTATTTTTCACATTACTCAAAATAGTTATTTTTTTATATGACATTATTATTATTGTTGTTTTCAAATTTCTGTTTTTTTGAAATTTGTTCCAAATCTGAATAAAATGTTTATGCATTTGACTATAAATTTTAAATGATGTATTTTGTATGAATTATGATACAACATTGATATGCATATGAATTATTAATTTTGTTTTCAAATTTTATGATCTTATTTAACTAATCTGTATTGTATAGATACTCCTGGAATTTTTTGAATAATAAGTGTATGAAGTGTGTGTGAATAATATATGTATGAAGTGTGTGTGAATAATATGTGTATGCAGTGTGTGTGAAATGTGAATATAATGTATGTCATATTTTTTTTATAAATATTGTGTATGAAATGTGTGTGAAATGTATGCCACAATCCTATGGCATTATGGAAAAACAAAGAATGAAGATGGCGCGATCAGCGAAAGTGAAGTTACTGGTACGATTGCTAGCAAATTTGGTGGACCTCGGATAACAAAAGAACATGTTCCGGATACCACCAATTATCCTACACCAATACCACCGACTAGAAAGTTGAAATAGTTGATTGCACCTTCTACTTTTTAAGAATTACATATTATTATTTTTAACTTTTGGATAATTTTTTTCTGTTTAACTTTTGGATAATTCTTTTTTGTTTAAGTATTTGATGATATATACTACAATATGTTATCAAAATAGTAGATTGCACCTTTTGATTCTCTTTTGAATGTTCTAAAGATTGTAACACTGTGTTTTTAATTATACACATGGTGACTGACATGCACTAACCTATAATGTTTGGATATTATAAGTTCAGAACAAAAATATTACACAGATCGACTTCATACAGTTCTGATACACTATTTTTTAAAGTAGCACTGTGTTTTTTAATTTGTATAACGAATGGATGAAACGTGTATGAAACACATTTTATATGCATATGTCTATGACTTCAATATTAAATGTTGGATATTTGTATTTAGTCATGGTATAATTTTAATAGTTGTATTTTGTCTTATTTTCGTTTGAATTAAATATGATTTATATATGTCCGACAACAACTTAAATTAGTCACTCATATATACAATATCTTTAATATGGAACAAATTTTATCATTAATGATATGCAACCTGTGTCTTTAATGAATGAATAGTGTATAAATAATAAATACTACATCTAACAATAAATTTGTATCAGTATGCATTCTATATGATTACTGAATGAACATTGTATGAGTGTGTTTCTATATGATTACTCATTAGTTGACACGTGTATGAAATTTATTACTATGACTTTAATATTAAATGTTTGGACATTTTATTTAACCGTGATATGATTTTTATATACAAATGTTATGAATTATGTTTTCACATTTGTCTTATTTTCTCATGAATTAAATGTGATTAATATATGTATGACCAACCCTTAAACTAGTGTTGGAATGAATTACATATATGTATGACCAACCCATAAGTTGCGATGTTATCGCACTTACTAGACCACTATAAAGACTAGAAGACTCGTATATAACCCCCTCCATTTGAAAATCGACATAATTCCCCGTTTCATTAAAAAAAAATATAAATTAGTCTCACGTTATAAACTCAATTCGAAATACAAATATCATTCAGACAGACAAAACATTACAAAACAATTTTTATATTCAATCAAAAAACATTTCATACAAATATCATTCAAATAGTACATTCCAAACACTTTCATACTATTTTAATACAAATTTCATACATCAAATATGTACATTTTTTTTTTTACGAAAATACTTCATTAATGTCACACAAATTTATACAAAAATGTCAATAATAGAATTTCAAAATTAATACAACCTTAAAACACTTATCATACAATTTGTCAAAATTTCAAATAATTTTTTTTTCAGATTACTGGACACGCTTTCATACAAATTTCATACTTTCTTAATATACATTTCATACCTATATCATTAAGACAACTTATTTCATAACAACTTTCAAACTCACTTAATACACATTTCATACAACAAATAATCATACATTACAAATATCTATATCTTATCGTACCAAATAATTCATTTCTAACTCACTAATTACTTCAGAAATGACAACATCTAATATAACACACTAAAATTTATAATTTTATACCAGCTTAAAACACTTGTTATACAATTTGTCAAAAATCCAAATAACTTTTTTACATCTTACGAAACACATTTTTTTACGAATTTCTTTCCAATAATTCTATTAAATTCATTCATAAATATACAATTACTTTATACTTTAAGGAAAAAAAAATACACAAAACAATCACAAAAACAGAAAATCACTAATATTATACATTTCACAACAGTTAACAAGTAATGATATCATCTTAAACATAGAGACGATTTACAATTTAATAATTTTTTTCATTCTAATGTAATTTAAAAACAAACACTAAATAGTAATAAATACTAACCCGAATGATCCCATCTTCTACCATGTTTAATTAGAATTGATACATAATTGTCCATCTCAATAAAGTCAATTTTTTTCAATGAAAAAAACCTTCAATTACTCGATTCTGGTAATTTTTTAGACTGAAGAATTAAGAGAGAGAAACGTTGAAGAAAAAAAGGATCTGATCTGATTTTTTATTTTTTTTTAACTGATTTTGAGTGAATTAAGGATAAAAAATATTGTTAATTTGTTTGGATCCCTTATTTCATGCTAATCATTAATTATCTACAATAAGTTCAAATTAAATTACAGTCCACAATTTCAGTTTTTTACTTTATTATTTCTAATTCCATTTTTTTAAATTTTCGTTTATCTTTTTATTTATTTTTTAAGTTTTTTCCAATTAATAAAAATTTTTTTTTTTTTGTGAACTTGTTATAACCTGAAAATTTTAATGCTATAGTTTGAAAGTCTAAATCTACTGCTATAGCTTGAAAATAGTACTATAATACATGTCATATATGAAATTTACGTGTGAAAAATATTTTATGACATCCTAGCTTAGGATAAGAATCCAGTATTGGCAAAATATAGGAGGGGGCATATATAAGTAAGTAGATCTTACGCATCTTAAAGTCGTTCGAATTTAACCTAGAGCAGATAATTTCACTAGCAGGATGAACCATTAGATATTATATAAGAGACGCTCTTGTATCAGTCTTATCAATGGTGGGTTAAAGTTCAACTGAGACTAGACAAATATGGGAAAGCAGGGCAAACCTTAGTGCTGAATATAAACAAATCTCATGTGTTAGCCTTGTCGATGGTGGGTCAGAGAAGACAAATTCGAGAAGGCAGGGCAAACCTCTGTGTTGAGTCTAGCCAAATTGATCTCATGTGTTAGCTTTGTCAATGGTGGGTCAGAATTCAACTGAGTTTAGACAAATCAGGGAAGGCGTGCAAACCTCAATATTGAGTCTTAAATTTCATGTTGTGGGGGCAAGACTCAACGGGGACACTGAGTTCATAAGAGGGGTATATGTGACACCATAATTACGATAATTAAGGCCCCACATTGACAAAGCACATGGGAGATTTTAACTTTTAAGTATATAATAAGCAAGTCTTATATCCTAGTGACAAGAGGCGGAGTTGGGATAAAGAGTTTGAGGGTTCTAAATTTCCTTTAGAACCGTTGATCAATTTTGTTAGGCATTCACAAATTAATATACATATGTATTGAATTAATTTTCGTGTACAAATACAGGGTCTACAAAAAAGCTATTGGGTTCGTC